GTTTTTGGGCACTTTTTGGAAAATTTTGACAAAAAAAGCGTTTTTTTTTGGCGCGCGCTCCCCCTCAAAGTTAGTATATATTAGAAAAATTTTAGGGTCGGTAGGCAAAAAATGGATTTTGTAAATTGTACCAAAGGGGGGAACTTCAATTAATTTCAAATTGCTAATCATCAGTATTTTTTCGAACTTTTCATTACCAAAAATATATTTTCTGTCGAGCATATCAGTTAACTTTTTGTCCCGATGTTTAATTTAAAAAACCGTCTGATTTTTTTATTAGTTCGCCTGTGATTTCCTTGAAGCTACAATCTTCACCACTTTTTTTCAAAAACTAGACTGCGTTTAATATAAAACAAACCAAATTATTGTTAGTATGTTACTTTGAGATACATATGCTCTAATTGAATAGTTCATCTTATACACTTGATTGTCTAAAACTACTTCGATTGTTAAAATCACCCAGAAAATTGAAACGTTATTTTGCAAAAAATAATTTTAGTCCATAATATGTGGTGATTATTAGTTAATTTTGATACTTGCATTAACTGATAATTTTGTTTTGAGTGAACTTAGCTTACGCATTTAGATGTTAAAGCGTTTTTCAGATTGGTGATGAGCAGATTGAAACTAAGCATTTGAAGGAAAAAATCAATTTTGTAAGACTCTGACAAAAAAATTCGTATAAATTCTGGCAGTAACAAATTAACTTTTTAAGTTTCTGGCGAAAAAACTATCTAGTGAAATTTCGACAAAAAAAATTATTTTGTCAGATTTTTTGATTTTCACAGACAAATGTCTGTATTGTAAGATTGTACAATGCCTGCAGAATGAAATGATCTTGAAAAATCTTACAAGAGTTTTTTTGCGATTGTGACAGACTTATGAATAAACTCAAAATTTCCTGTTAAACAAAGAAATTACACGATAATCAGTCACGTTTGAATATTCCAAAACAGCTACTAGTCTTATGGAAGAAAAGGCGAATGCGCAAAATTTTTCAACCAACCCTCCTTTAAACATTTAACAGTATTTTTTCCAGCTCAATTCTCATTCTCTCAAATTTTTCAAAACTAAACTCTGATTGGGCAACATAATTTTTGGACAATTAGTCTTCTTTCTGGCCTGAAGTTTTCTTCCTACCAATTTAGCGCCGCCTGCTTGTTTCGCTGATTCAATTTTTTTAAGTTAAAATTCTTAGCTGACCCGGAAATTGGTTAATTTCCATAAAGAACATTTCAACTAAAGCAAGCTCTAGAATTTTTAACCCCTTTAACGCGCTCTCAATTTTAGTCCACTAAGTCAGTTATTGTTTCGTTTTTTTTTTTAAAAAAAATGCCGGAACAGTTGTGCTCGAGTTTGTTTTTTTTTCTTTAGACAAACTTCGACTTTTCAAATAGCAATTTTCGACGGAAATTTATTAATCATGCAAAAGGCACTGTTGGTTTGAGCTCAAACTTAAAACAATATTTTACCTGCGATCTTTTTTTGTAAAGTAATGGGGTTTTAAAGATTGCCAATTTGGCCAATTTGGATTAATTAATGAGCTATATATTTCGTGCTACCAACGCGTGGACGGAAATTTATTTTGTTCTAAAAACTGTTCTAAATTGATTTGAGGCAACCTATTTAGTCTTTTTAACACTTGGCTGCGCGTAAAACGAATCAATTTATATTAAACATGTGGACTGATGATTTTCAAAAAAAAGCAAAAAAATTATTTTTAATTGATTAATTTTTTGAGCGAAGGCTTTTTCATAGAGTTTAAAACGCAGTCAGAACATTCAGGTTCTAGCTATGATGCAAGCAACCTTATAATTTTATTTAGAACAATTTCGAGTGAAACTTTCAATTTAAATTGAATGATAACAATAAAACTTACTAAACAATAAAAAGTTATTTATAGAACAACTAAACCAAATATAAAGTTTGTAATTATTTTCATTTACTGGAGTGACATTACGAGGCCAAACTGTGCACTGGATAGGAGCACAATTTTGTGTCTGTATGTTCCTGGATTCCAGGGACAAGTCTTTAAACATGTGAAAATTTTGTTGGAACGATCAAAGGAAAGTAAAGAACAAAAGAACAAAGGGAGCGTCCTTGTTGTGGAATCCGCTTAAAATGCACAAAATGCACAGTTTGGCCTCGTAATGGAAGTAAAAAAATAGGGAGATTGACCTCCAAATTTTAACAGCTGAAGTAAATGAATATTGCTCGAATTTGCACAATGGCACATTATCGAAGGTGACTTTCTTCGATACGTTTTTTTTTGGATACAAAATTTAACATACAGATGTCTGCACTTTTCCAGCTTAAGTTACAAAGTTCCATATTTGCAAATTTGGACTGTTAGGCTGTTATTCTTAGTATCGAAAAAAAATCCTTCATTCTAATGCAAATATCTGCAGGTTTGACGCCCAGCCCACTTGGAATCCCGCCTTCTGTACTTTTTTTTGACATCCATATTGGGTCGACTAGGCCTTAATTTTTTTGAAGGTGCCTTTGGCCGCTACTAAAATTATGAGGAAGTGCGCACCGACTGCGTTTAATGTAAAACAAACCAAATTATTGTTAGTATGTTACTTTGAGATACATATGCTCTAATTGAATAGTTCATCTTATACACTTGATTGTCTAAAACTACTTCGATTGTTAAAATCACCCAGAAAATTGAAACCTAAATTTGCAAAAAATAATTTTAGTTCATAATATGTGGTGATTATTAGTTAATTTTGATACTTGCATTAACTGATAATTTTGTTTTGAGTGAACTTAGCTTACGCATTTAGATGTTAAAGCGTTTTTCAGATTGGTGATGAGCAGATTGAAACTAAGCATTTGAAGGAAAAAATTAATTTTGTAAGACTCTGACAAAAAAAAATTCGTATAAATTCTGGCAGTAACAATTTAACTTTTTAAGTTTCTGGCGAAAAAACTATCTAGTGAAATTTCGACAAAAAAAAATTATTTTGTCAGATTTTTTGATTTTCACAGACAAATGTCTGTATTGTAAGATTGTACAATGCCTGCAGAATGAAATGATCTTGAAAAATCTTACAAGAGTTTTTTTACGATTGTGACAGACTTATGAATAAACTCAAAATTTCCTGTTAAACAAAGAAATTACACGATAATCAGTCACGTTTGAATATTCCAAAACAGCTGCTAGTCTTATGGAAGAAAAGGCGAATGCGCAAAATTTTTCGACCAACCCTCCTTTAAACATTTAACATTTTTTTTCCAGCTCAATTCTCATTCTCTCTAACTTTTCAAAACTAAACTCTGATTGGGCAACATAATTTTTGGACAATTAGTCTTCTTTCTGGCCTGAAGCTTTCTTCCTACCAATTTAGCGCCGCCTGCTTGTTTCGCTGATTCAATTTTTTTAAGTTAAAATTCTTAGTTGACCCGGAAATTGGTTAATTTCCATAAAGAACATTTCAACGAAAGCAAGCGCTAGAATTTTTAACCCCTTTAACGCGCTCTCAATTTTAGTCCATTAAGTCAGTTATTGTTTCGTTTTTTAAAAAAAATGCCGGAACAGTTGTGCTCGAGTTTGTTTTTTTTTTCTTCAGACAAACTTCGACTTTTCAAATAGCAATTTTTGACGGATATTTATTACTCATGCGAAAGGTACTGTTGGTTTGAGCTCAAAATTAAAACAATATTTAACCTGCGATCTTTTTCTGTAAAGTAATGGGGTTTTAAAGATTGCCAATTTGGCCAATTTGGATTAATTAATGAGCTATATATTTCGTGCTACCAACGCGTAGACGGAAATTTATTTGGTTCTAAAAACTGTTTTAAACTGATTTGAGGCAACCTATTTGGTCTTTTTAACACTTGGCTGCGCGTAAAACGAATCAATTTATATTAAACATGTGGACTGATGATTTTCAAAAAAAAGCAAAAAATTTATTTTTAATTGATTCATTTTTTGAGCGAAGGCTTTTTCATAGAGTTTAAAACGCAGTCGGAACATTCAGGTTCTAGCTATGATGCAAGCAACCTTATAATTTTATTTAGAACAATTTCCAGTGAAACTTTCAATTTAAATTGAATGATAACAATAAAACTTACTAAACAATAAAAAGTTATTTAGAGAACAATTAAACCAAATATAAAGTTTGTAATTATTTTCATTTACTGGAGCGAAATTACGAGGCCAAACTGTGCACTGGATAGGAGCACAATTTTGTGTCTGTATGTTCCTGGATTCCATGGACAAGTCTTTAAACATGTGAAAATTTTGTCGGAACGATCAAAGGAAAGTAAAGAACAAAAGAACAAAAGGAGCGTCCTTGTTGTGGAATCCGCTTACAATGCACAAAATGCACAGTTTGGCCTCGTAATGGAAGTTAAAAAAATAGGGGAGATTGACCTCCAAATTTTAACAGCTGAAGTAAATGAATATTGCTCGAATTTGCACAATGGCACATTATCGAAGGTGACTTTCTTCGATACGTTTTTTTTGGATACAAAATTTAACATACAGATGTCTGCACTTTTCCAGCTTAAGTTACAAAGTTCCATATTTGCAAATTTGGACTGTTAGGCTGTTATTCTTAGTATCGAAAAAAACTCCTTCATTCTAATGCAAATATCTGCAGGTTTGACGCCCAGCCCACTTGGAATCCAGCCTTCTGTACTTTTTTTTACATCCATATTGGGTCGACTAGTCCTTAATTTTTTTGAAGGTGCCTTTGGCCGCTACTAAAATTATGAGGAAGTGCGCACCGAAAAAAAATGTTGAAGAATATCCTAAAACATTATTTTTGCTCAACTTGGCTTCTGAAGTTTGGCTTCTGAGCAGAACATTTTGGCAAAATATGGTTCAATATAGCAATTAAGGAGAGCTATATTAATGCCATGCCTCCATGGAAAATCAATTTACTTACTTGAAATAAAAAGACAATATTTAATAACTTTTTTGAAAACCTTCCTCCATTTTACGAAAATTCTAGAAAAATAATATATATAAATATATGTATAAGAGTTCACTATACACGGAAGAAGGATTTAGTGTGGTTTTGTGATGAGGGAGTTAAAATTGCTCTAGTAGCTGCAGTTTCGCTATTTTTATGATACATAAACAGTGATGAACACACCATCGTGCAGCCAATAAAGAATAACTCATGATACTGTTTTCTGTACAAAATCATCGAACAAAGAGCCGCCAAGAGAATTGAGAAAGAACTGGCAAAATTTTTATAGATGTTGTCCAAGTATTTCAACATCAGGGCAGTCGCTAGCCCGCCCAGAGATCCGGACAAGACAATGAGCCAGACATTCAGCGTGTATCCATGCGTGAATCCTTTTTCAGAGTTGGCACAGCTTGTAGTTTTATTTTAAATTAAGCCAGATTAATTTTTTCATCAATGGCGCATCTATAATTGCGAGAGGTGGGGAGAATGTTCAAAAAGGCTTGTCTGTTTTTAGAACCAAACTAATTTTGAGCTCTCGTAACAGCCAACATGACTACATTTAGGCACAACTTGGTTACTTTTGACCAATACTGCGCCGCCTCGTTACTCTTATATCCACCCCTCTTTGTCAAATTGAGAATACCATATATCTACTTGAACCAAATTAAACAGAATGAACGAATTATTGTTCCGATTTTCGTAACGAAAGTAACGGAAAATTTGTGCTCGGGGTGGGTTGTTTTTCTTCAGACAAATTTCGACTTTTTAACTAGCCATATTTGACAAGATTTTTAAAAATCATTCAAAAGGTATTGTTGTCCTGAGCTTACTTTGAGAAGATATTTTACCTGTGATCATTTTCGTAAGGTTATGGGGGTTTGAAGATTGGCGTTTTGGCTCTTAAAAATGCATTGGAAACAGCCTGAAATGTTTTAGTTCTGTCTCACACAAATAATATAACGAAAGTAACAAACTTTTTTAATTTTGGCAAAAATTTTCGAAGATGATTATTTCTAAAATTTGAATTTTTAAATTACCAGACAATAATCAAGGCATACAAAAACATGTCATACAAAAAAAGAGGAGTTTTAAGCGTTTTTGAAAAAGTTATGAAAAGGAAAGGAAAAAAAATCCAATATTAGTATATTCAGGGCTACGTTATACACACAAAAATTTAAATTTTGCATGATTAAACTTTGAAAAAATTTGGTCCTCGCCATCAAAAAAATGCTAGTCATACATTTTCCATATATGGAAATTGTATGATGAGCATTTTTTTTGACAAAAAATTTTTACTTTTTTATTTAGTACGATACACCGAATTTTATGCCAAAACAAGAGATAAAATTTTTTCGAAAATTCGACGACTCTATTTTAGCAAACTGCATGAAATTTGTATGATTAGTATTTTTTCATAGACTTAGTTTATGGAATTGTATGATAAGCATTTTTGGCCTATGGAGGTCAACCCGGGTACTCTGTGATCTTTTTGTTGGAGTCAAAAAAGTAACAAGAGTGCTCGTATCAGGATGAAGCCCTGAATGTTCCGACTGCCTTTTAAGGTTTACGGAGAAGTAGCAACATTAAAAAAATTAAATGTAATAAAAAAATGAAAAAAAAAATTGTAAAATTTGAAATCTTTTTATGAAATCATCCCCCCACACGCCATATGAAGTACAAAAGAATAGATTTCGCTCATTGTAACTAATCAATTATGACAAAAAAGCTTCTTTCAACCAATTTGGAACGATGTCTAAGACGGATTAAATCTCGGTTTACGCGTTAATAGCGCGAAATATATCGCGCGTTAATTGTCCCAAATTGGCCAAAATGGTAATCTTTAGACCCTCATAACTTTACGAAAAATGATCACAGGTAAAATATCTTTTCAAATTTAAGGTCAAGACAACAATACCTTTTGAATGATTTTTAAAAATTCCTTCAGAAATAGCTAGTTAAAAAGTCACAATTTGTCTGAAGAAAAAAACCCACCCGAGCACAAATATTCCATTACTTTCGTATCGAAAGTAGGAACAAAAAAGGCGGTCTTTTGAGCGTTGAAGAACTCGATTTCCTGAAATTTTGGTCACCGAATCTGAACACTTTCCCCTCCTTTCTTTGCATTATTTACCAACAATTTTCATCTCCGACACGTCAACATTTTCTATACAACCGAACTTCCCAGGTCAATTTTTTTTCCAAAAAACCATTTATTGAAATTTCCCGTCGAGTTACGTCCGCGTTTTGAAAAGGAGAAAAAGTTACAAGGGAATTTCATGTCCTAAAATCTCTATTCTTTCTAAAATTTTAAAATGTGGGACATTAGGCTGTTTTTTTTCGCCCACCTATCCAGACACATTTTGTAATTTTGGTCGATGTATTTGGCTTATGCTTAAATGGTCGTGCCATGCCAACTGTGAAGTGAGCACCTTTCTCTTGAATGACTAATCCGTCCTTGGCCATGCAGCCGATGAGGGAGGAGGGGATGGAGAAGATGAACATCTGGATGTTCCTCATCCACAGACTACCCACTGGCGACAACTGCACTGTGCTTGCATCTATGCAATGAACCAGAAGAGATTAAACTCATTTAAACAAACTTAACAGTGATTTACAAAGTTGACAATTATGCAGTTTCCCAACTCATCTTTCTTGCCAGCCCCCGTAAATTACAACGAAACATTGCTCGGGAATTGCTCATACGAGATTGATCTGAATAGTAGAAAAAACTCGAATCTAATAACTTGATCAAATTGTCATATTTCACTTTGATTTACAAAGAGCTTAAGCTTTTTCAGAAATATGATCCGCCCAAGCAAAAGGGGTGGTTAAGAAGCACAAAAAAATTGGCTCAGCTTTTCCGTCGCATCTAGGTTCGGATATAGAGTTTCATTTCGAAAGTTTCATAGAACTTTGTTTATTCTGACCAAATTGATTTTCCGAATTGATGAGAAAAGTTTTACCACTCGTCGACGCAAAGAGTCCCCCTTTGTACTATTTTGAGATATCCATTTTTCGCTGACGAACCCTAAACTTTTGTAAAGGCGCCTTTGACGCTAAAAACTACTAATTTTTAGGGTGAAGCGCGCGCCGAAAAAAAACGCGATTTTTTGGTCAAAACTTTCCAACAAGTGCCTAAGAACGCTTTTGTTGGCCTGTTTTTCAAGATTTAGCCAAAGGAGGGTCTTTTTACTGCTTTTGGAGAGCTCGGAAAATCAATTTAGTCAGCCTAAAAAAAGGTCAAAGTTTACTGAAATTTTTTTACCATCTGCCTCCCCTCTCGAGAAAACACCAAACCCTCCTCTGTTTACCTTTGTTTACCCCTGACAACTGCAATGTGTGAAATTTACCGACCTGTGTTGTTTTTTGTTTCCTTCGGCGACAAAGAAGGTGATGATGGCAAGGAGGGAGCGGAAGAAGGTGAAGAAGAAGATGACTGTGACTGTGATGATGATGATGAAGATGACGCTTTGAGTAGTTTCTCCATGTACACTCCCGCCAGTGCAGAGGTAAAGGTCATGGTCACAGCTGCCATCAGACCCTTCAAGTAGTCCCAGTTTCCCTCCCTCTGAATTGTTTCTCTCTTCGCTACATCTGACAAGTCTCTGCCTGGAACAGCAGAAAAAGACAAAAAATAGGTCTTTTACCGCCCACGCAAGCACCTGATATATGTATTTTTTATTTTTTAAAGTTTTGTTCACCTTCCCCCTCATTATCATGAAAATTGTTTCTTTTTTTACCCCGGAACAATTTCCCCTCGTAAAAATTTCACCCCCATTTTCAATAATTCACTTGCATTTAACTAATTTAAAAAATTTGCGGGGGGTTCTGCAACTTCGATAAATTTTAGTTGATATCAGCTTATTTTTGTAGACTGAAAAAACTAAACTACCTGTTGTATTGCTGTATAGCAGACGATCTAAGCTCTGCGATTCTGTACCATTTATCAAGGAATACTTTATTGGTGTTCCTGGTGGTATTATTATCTGGGTGTTTCTGTTGTTCGGCAACTGTGATATAGCGACGTCCAAAAGCTTCTCGCTTGACCGAACGGTCGGCGAAGCAAACTGGTCCACTTCCGCTAGAGAAACTCCGATTAGAAGGATAACCAAAGAAACCCACTGTACGTTTTTTAGAACTTTTCCAAGCAGAAGACGCATAAACACGGCAGTCGTTAATAACTTGATTTGAGCCGTGACTGTGAAAGTTCCGGGGTCGAGGTACTGCAAAGCAACGTACGCTAAATTATTCTGAACTACGTAAATAAGCGCCGGAATCGAACATTTCAAAGTTTCAGTAAGCTTTCCAAAAATTTCAATTTCAATCGACTTCATAAATTTGGTGGGCGATGTGCCGCAGGTAATAAATAAGAACACCAAACATAGCCCAAGTTTGATAACTTCGATTAAAAAAACAGTTGTAGTTGAGCTGTACTTATCGACTTCTGAATTCCTTTCTTTTCTGGTGTCATTAATGAGCACGACATTCAAGGTCATAAGAAAAGTGAGAGTTAAAAACAACGTCAAGTTCATGATCTTAGACATGATTGCAAAGATCCGACGTCGAAGTTTGCGATGCGCGATTAATGAGTCTATGATGGTTGCATTCTCTTGAATTAATCGTACGTGATCATTGTCTGTATACAGTGCTGATTTAAATTAACCGGACAAAACGCGTTAAACTTGAAATTTAAAACCCGTTTTTCTCAAATTGGGTTGAGTTTAGGTGAAAACTTATGAAGACAAAACTTGCTTAGAATTTTAGCAGAATCAATATGGTGTAATTTGTTTTGCGAAATTCGGGTCCGAAATTTTACCCCAAAAATGGGTCATTTTGGCTTTTCTTGGTTAATCAAAAATTACGCCAAAAATACCCAGTCGATCACAGACATAATTATATCAAAGTGAGCCCCTTACGTAGCCCAACAAACTTTATGAAGGGTGTTTTCTCCAAAAAAAATTGCAAAATGTTTCAAAATTGTTTTTAAATAAAAAGTTGGTATTTTATATAGTAAAAACGACCTTTTTTGTCTATCAAACAAAAATAAATTAACTTATACAACATTTTGGAGAAAATACCCTTCTTAAAGTTTGTTGGGCTACATAAGGGGCTCACTTTTATATAATTATGTCTGTGATCGACTGGGTATTTTTGGCGTAATTTTTGATTAACCAAGAAAAGCCAAAATGACCCATTTTTGGGGTAAAATTTCGGACCCGAATTTTGCAAAACAAATTACACCATATTAATTCTGCCAAAATTTTAAGCAAGTTTTGTCTTCATAAGTTTTCACCTAAACTCAACCCAATTTGAGAAAAACTTTGAGTTAAATTTCAAGTTTAACGCGTTTTGTCCGGTTAATTTAAATCAGCACTGTATTTGCGTTTTGCATTTGAACTATAAAGTGATTGACATTGCTAAAACGAACAAACAGAAAATGATTATTTAAAAGCGCCCCTTCCTCTTCCGATCCTCCCCCCCCCCCCCCCCTCCCCACTTGAAATTTTGAAAGATTTCTAAATTTAGCTCGTGTTGTCCAATTGTCATGAAAGTTGGCCTGTGAGTTGAGAGTCTGGTGTTAGAAACACATTTTGTGTAATAGTACAATTTCGTAAACTTATTAGTCAGAGCATAAAATTGATGATTGATATCTAGTGAGAGAGGGGAAGGGGAGGGGAGGGAAACGGTTTATAAGTTCAAAAAAAGAAAATTTTTTAAACAAAATCTGAACGGTATTCTGTGATGATAGCAACATCGGTAGATTTTTGACTGGCTCGGAAACAATGACCTATGGAGTCACAGATCTTTTTATTTTTGGAACAAGTATGATATTTGGGCCTCTACAAAAACAGGTATGAAAAATGACGAAAAATGAGTGTCATAAAAGCAAAAACTGGTAGCCAAGACTCTGAAATGTATATTTTTTTTCTCCCCGGCTTGATCTAAGCTTTTTGGGCTAAGCTATTATCAAGCTTGTACACGCAAACGGTTTCTACGCTCAAACTGTTCAGTCAAACATCAAGCACACAAATATCTCTATGTCGCAGACTGATTTTTTTGCTAACCTTTCTTTGCATCTCAAAGGTTTTTTTTTGCGAAATGGTTTTTTTTTGCATGTGGTTTGAGCTTCTACGCGGCTTCAAAACCATTTTCTTAATATTGGCAAGATGGCACAACTATTGCTATTTGGTATGTGCTACAGAAAATTGGGAAGAACTATTGGATCTACTTAACAATTCCCCCTCTATGTTTTCCACTAAAGGATCTCCACCTCTTAAAGTAAAACAGTTAAATGGCACTAAAGCTTTCTTTTGAAAACTTTATTTTTGCAGCGTTTTGATTGGTCGAAAAAATGACTTATTAAACATTCGTAACAACCCATTCCCTCTAATTGGGGCAATACAGCAGTACCGAAGTACAACAGAGCTGAAAAACAAAATTAGTTCAACAGGGCCGAAAATTTGAACAAATTTCAACATATTAAGTGCGGCAATCAAAAACTGAACGGCAATCGTTAATAATCTTAAGTAAATGGCACTTTAAAATTTTGAGCAAGAAAACTTGCAACTTTTCTCGCTCAAAATTTGCAACTTTTCTCGTTTGGCGCCAAAACAATTTTTTAATTTGCAGTTGCAGACAATTTAGCGCTGAAATTGGAGTGATTTTTTTCGTTAATTTGGGTCAGTAATTTCCCACTTTTTAGAAAATGCGTTTAAATTATTTTGAAAATTTCTCGCTTTTTTCGGCACTGTTGTACTTGGGACTGTTGAAAGCTCCCCTCTAATTGAATACTGAAGCTTGTTAAGTAGATCGAATGATTGAGGAAGCCGAAAAACAGATTAGTTCCCTGATAGCCAAAAACTATTCACTAAAAGCCAAATTTTAATCCTTGAAAAAATAACTTCTCACATCATCTATAATAAAGAAAGCCTCTCACCCATAATAGCCCCTACCCCTAAGTGAATTATAGAACCTCAAAAAAATTGAAAAATCTGATGGGAATTCCTTTAGAAAAAATTGAAATTTCTATTGGCCTTTTTTATTAGATTGAACGGATCTGCTTAAAAATCTCCCCCCAATGGTATCTACTTATGAATTTCTAGCCTTATGAACAAATACAGCAAATTAGAGCTAGAGTTTGTATTGAGAATTTTAATTTTGCTTCATTCTGATCAAAAATTCGGCTAACATAATCTATTTATCAATCCAAACTCCCCCTTTCTGAAAAGAGATTTTTAATTGGATCTGTTTGATCAGTTTGAGCTGTACCGAAACGCTGTAAAAAGGCTATTTCTAAAAATTTTTCTGAGACAGAGGCAAATAATTGATTTGAAAAAATGGCAAAAAATCGGGATTTTGCACTCATTTCTGGCGCGTTGTACCCGCGTTCATCTGAAAACGGGAGTGTAGCGATTTGCTTGCGTGCTGCTGACTCTGCGCAATTGAAATAATAACTGTCTTTGATGCGACACGCTTCAGTTAGAGTTTTAGTCTTAAATGTGAGAAACCAAACTCAATTCCAATTGAGCAATGAACAGTATGCTAAGAAGCACGCACATAATTGGGCCGGACCGCTCTCAAGGCATTCATTATACGGCTCTTATTTTTTTTTGGTAAGCCAAAAAATGTTAGCTTGCGATTAGTCGAAAAAAAATTGTTCCCGGATAGCCAAAAAAAATTGATCTCGGATAGCCAAAAAAATATTGCGTATCAAAAAAGTCAATATTGCGTATCAAAATTATTTTTTGCTATCTTAGATAGTCTATCTTTATTGCTATCTAATTCCATCAAGGCAAAGCTGTTACACCTGTAAAATGCGTTTAGTCTATTGTATCAGTCCAATTTTTTTGTCAAATATTTCTTTTCAGAGTTTAACAAATTTCTGAAAGTTTTTTGACTATCCAGGAAAACGAATTTTGGGTACGCACCAATTTAAACTCAAATCTGATTTTAAAAAATTTGCAAAAATTTAAAGGTGTACTTTTTTTAAATTTGATTTTGTGGGAAATTACCGCCCATTTTATGCAGTTTTTTTAAGAACTCTAACATGCATAATAAGCAAACCAATCGACTGCTTAATAATTTTTCTGATGATTAGATTAATTTTTTACAGGAATCAAGAAAAAATGAAAACTTACCAGGCTTATTGATTGCGAAAAAAATAAGAATACGAACTTTTTCGAGATCATTGGTTATTTTTCAGACAGGGAAAAAAAGAAATGAATAAAAAAGATATAAAAGAAAAAAAGTTACGTTGAAATCTAGAAGTAGAAGACTGTAAGGTTTAAAGCATACATCGAGATGAATTATTAAGAAATGAATGCTTAATTTGAAAATTCAAAAATCACCGCCATATACGTGAAAAAAATTCTGTTGCGATTTCGTGTGTATACGATTTGAGACAGATTTTTTTCTTTCATTACTAATTGATGAAATTATTTAAAATAAAACGGAGAAATAGTATGTTCGTTAAACGCATGCGTAGTTTGTGATACTTATATACTTTTGTTTTCATGACTGCATTCAATGCAACTGACTAAAATCATTTCCTAGTGGACGGAATTATCTTGTCAGGAAAAATCGTTTTATTTAAAAAGTTTCCCAATCTCTTTAATGGATCTTAAATTTGCCATTTTTCTACAAAAAAAAACTAACGCTTCAGATATAAAATTGTATTATTGTAAAGAAAACAGGTATGTTGCCAGTATCCATATCAAAGGAAATCAAAATCAAGTTCGAGTTGAATGTTTCTCCATTGCGCAACATGACCCGCACTCCGCGCCAATAAGAGTGATTTGAAGATTTCGGCGTCTCTTTTACTGTGCGCATTGCGAAGTGTAATATATATAACTTTAATGACAAAAACTATGTTTTTCATTGTAAACAAGAAATTTTTCATGAATTTAGTACATACCTGTGTTCAAATTATTCGTTTATCTGCGTGTTCTTGATAACTGAGAAGTCAATAGATTTCCTATTTCTACCGGAAACGATAAGTCAAAAGTGAAAACGAAATTTTTTCCAAAAATTTGTAACAGAATGAAAAAAATATCGAAACTGATAAACATGTTTTATTATACTTAAAATTAGAAACAGCAAAATCAAATAGGCAATTTCAGAACAAATTAGAATGTGCTAAAATTAAAATAACTGTGGCAAAACAAAATGGTTAACAGAAAGATACTTAAAATTTTTTCAATAGCCGTTGCCAGAAAAAAGCACAGGAAAGAGTTTGCTTAAATCAATGGTAGCAAAGATTCATTGAAACTGAAATTGTAATTGTTTTCTTCAATTTTTATTCTCATTTTTGAGTTCTTTATCTAAATCAATGTGCTCGAAATTTTCTGTGAGAATTTTCTGTACGAGTTTTCTGTGCGACCATATCCGAATCCAACTATCCATGTTTGTAGTTTATGTTTGTAGTTTATGTTTTTGAACCCATTTGCCTTTCCTGTTGGGAGCAAAAAAACCTGTTCCCCAGTCTTCAAAAAATTGTAACATAAACTCTGTTCCCAGTAAAGAAAAAAATTCTAACTTGAAATTAGAAATATGAGCAGGTCACGAATCAATAATGATGCTTGGATTGAACAATTCGGCAAGCCATCAGATTCTAAAATAATTATCGTTCCTCTGGTTGTTTGATACTGTTGTTCTTCTCATCTTGATTATTGCTCCAATTACTGCAAGTGGGAAGGATTTCGTCTTTGTTCTAGTTTTTTTAGTTTTCCTTTTTTGTTTTTTTTTCATGAAAAATCAGTTACTACAAATAGTCTTCGGAATGGGTCGAGTGATATATCATATTGAAGCCATTTCAGTCGTAACTCGAACGAAATTTAAAGTTTTTTGAAATTTTTATTGAATGTTGAGAAAAACCGGTTGAAAATTTTTATTGAGAAAATTGGAGGTTTGGTCAAATAGCGTGTCTAGTTTTTATTATTAAATTTAGTGTGAGAAGAAGGCTAACCTTTGATTTCATAGATCTTTTTGATTTGTCCATGGTTAATTTTTTTGGATAAAATGTATAGAAGAATGAATGAATAGAAAAAACAGTTTTGAACAATCGTTTCCTGATACCACTAATGCAGAAAAAATGTTTCTTCATTTTCTATAAATTCTTAGTGATTATCTGACTGAAGTCCGCTTCTAGATTGTTTGGCTTCGACTTTATAATAAGTACAAAATTGCGTTTTAATGGATACCAACTAAAACAATAAATAAGAAACAAGAAGAGAAATAGAAGTTTAGAAAAGTGTACTCAACTTAATCGTAACGGCTTAATGAATTTCTGAAAATTTTGACGGACTAAATCTGAACCAAAACTGCTTCTGAGTCAGCTTACCTAAATTTCGGCTTCTTAGAAATTTTTGAAAAACCGGCTATACTTTTCATTTACTCGCTCACAGGGAAACTTCACAGTGATTCTTTGTTGACTTTTCAAATTAGAAAAATAATAAGTTTTAATTTTATTGATAAGCGCAATTTTTAGGTGCCTAGTTAATCTAAAAATCAGTGCTTGGTACAACAAACTGCTTATTTCTTCCTTGTCCTTTTTTACGGCATGATAAAATAACCAGTCTACCAAACTGGCGACATTATATTTTCGATACGCGAATTTACCGATACGCGAAACATGTTGTAACACACTAGGTGAACCAAACTTTTCGTATGTCGAAGAACGTAACTCAGTTTTCGTAAATCTGGAGGCACGTGTATGATATTTTTGAATATGCTATATTGAAGCGGAACAAAAAGCGTAACTTCAAAAATTGGACTTTGCTCAAAGCCTTAGTTGTTTCTCTGCTAAAATAAGTTAGAAGAATTTTTTTTGACATTTCAGAACTTTCTCAAAGACATAAAAATTCTTCTAAAACAATTAAGCATTAGCCAAGTTTTTTGTCTCAGACTTGATAGAGTACTTTTTAAAAAATTTCAAAAAATTTGAAAAACGATCAAATTTCAAAAACATGACCTTCCAAATTTTGTTAAATTTTTCTGCTAAAAGCAGATCGTGGCCGACAAAAAAGACAAGATTCTCAAAATTGGATTTGTGGATTAAACACATATTCTGCAAATTGGTACAATAATTTTCGAGTAAAGTCAAAAAACTTCCAAAAAACTGTCAAAGTTTTGAAACTTTAACTTGATTGAAGGCCATAACTTATTTCTAAAAGAAACAGGAAGATAACTTTTTGTGCATAAAAACTTGCGAGTGAACGCTAACGCCGGTACCCAGTAAATGTTATCTCCATTGAAGCTAGAACTTGAGGTGTGGGCGGTTAGTTTTTGGGAAAAGTCAAAAACTCTTAGGGCAAGTTTTGGCTCATTTTCCTTTCCCCCCCCCACCTGCAAATTTTTACATGTAAATTTGTTGACCACATTGTCCGATTATTATGAAAATTTACATACAGACTAATAAGGGCAGGACAAACATATTTGGTCCTCATACTCAACCTCGTAAAAACTCTCGTTACAATAATGAATTGAAGCTCGTGTGAAGTGAGGGGGGGGGGGGGGAAGGAAAAAGAGCCCAAATTTTCAAGCAAAAAGAGGCCAGTAAAATTTTGATGCAAACAAAGGAGTAGGCAATCTGTTTATAAATGCCTTTTTCTGGAAAATTAGTGAAAAGCATTTTGAGAAAAAAAATGATCATTTGCAAAAAGCGATAAAAGTTTCCAAAGCGCCTCAAAAAAAACAATCCCAAATATTTTCAAAATACTTGTTTTTACCAAACAGGAATTCTAATCCATCATGCCATGCAAGACATCTGTAATTCAGTTTAGCAGAAAAAATGCGACAGTCGTTGAGCAGACACCAGTTGAACAAAAAAAAACTGTTTCTGTAGAAAAAAAATGAAAAAATTTCAACACCCATCTGAAACTACCCTAGAGTAACTGGTATTCACTCAGTTGTTAAATTTGAATTTTCATGAAATTGATAAGTTAGCATCATGAATGATTTAATTGTTTTTGTTTAACTAGTTGTTAACCCGAAAAATACTCTCCGATTTGATAACGCTTGCTAATCGCAAACGTAATCTTCTATTTTTTTTATAAATCTGTGAATGAAACTTTCAAAATGTAAACTTTTATTTAAAAAATGTAACCGCTTAACTGTGCCTCTATAGGTAAGATAAATTTGTTATGACGTTTCTAGGTTGCCTCAAAAGTTAGACCGTAAAAGCATGCAGCTAACAAACATTAAAAATCTGAGAATGAGGCCATAAATTTCCGACTGCCTTCAAGTCCTACAGCAGTAAAAACAAACAGAAAAGCATGCTAACAACAGTAAAAGCTAATTTGAAACAAGAATACGCGGTTACTGTGCAAGTAGCGCATAATGTTTTGACCATATTCTTAAGAAATACAACGTTTTTTCTTCAAATTAGTCTCGTTTTTTTTTGCGTGGTGAGATGAAAAGATCTGAACAAAAAACTATATGTTAGACATATCCATCAGTCATAGTAAATTAAGCAAACTGGAAAACAATTTTGAAGAAAAATGACTAAAAAAGACAACAAAAAATCATCAAATTAGATCAAAAATTGTTCCAAAGAATTGTCAGACAACACTCAGAAAAAATTTTTCAAAGTTTTAAAAAATTGTTCCGATTACGACTGAACTGGCTTTTTTTATGACACATGACTCGACTCATTCCGATGATTATTTGTGGTACCTGATTTTGCGTGAAAAAAAGAAAAGTTAAAACACCCGAATTCAAAGTTCCTGACCGTTTTTCGAATGGTCGGAAAAAAAATTAAACCAGACCCGAATACAAAGGTCCTCCCCATTTTCAATAGTAGGAACAAAAATATTAAAACCTTTGGGTAGTCAATCAAAAATTACCTTACCAAAAACTCAGAACCAATTATTACCATTCAGAAACTTATGGTCAAGATTGTATTCACACGGTAAAACATCATGATCTTTAGTTCGTAGCTAAAAACCGCTATTTTGTGCAGCTTTAGTGTTTCTTGTATTTATTATTCAATTGATTTTTTTGTTGAATTTTTTTGCCTTTTTCTAGAAATGTCACAAACAAGGCCCATTAAGTATGACATGACCCATGCGTGCGAGGCGATCGTTGGTGGTCGACTTTGTGCGACTTTGTTCGACCTCCTTATATCCTTGTTATGATAGCAATTTATCAGTATCACCTCAATCCAAAAATTAAGAGTTACACTCAATGACCAGAGCCACGAAAATCATTTGATACCGCACCGCAATTTCATGTTTTAAAATTGATTATAGGGGACAACTGCTGCTCAAAACAA